ACTGCCAACGACATCGTTGCCGAAGAAGCCGGTTACCTTAAAAACGCTGGTAACCCAGAAGAAGAAGCTCAAGTAGCTCAAGGTAGTTACTCTTACGTCGCTCCAGACGGTCAAAGAGTTTCCGTTTCCTACGTCGCCGACGAAAACGGTTTCGTTCCACAGGGTAAGAAACACATTTTTTTACACAACAAAAACCAATTATTGACACGTCTTTAAAAAAAATTTTTTCATAGAAACACAAAACGCAAAATCAAAAAAAAAATATATACACAAACTAAATATTTTTATTTCCACAGTTGTTATCAGCCCTGCCGGACGTAGATAAGCTAAACACTACACATAACACAGATTTCAAACAGGATAAAACAACAGTTTTGTAAGTTTACACTGAAATCATACACGTGTGCGAAAAATATTTATGGTCGCACGTAACAGCTTACCAACACATAAAATTTCACACTTAATCATTGATAACACATTATTATTATTATTATCAAATTTAAAAAAAAAAAAAAGAATTTCCGCCCCTCCTTTTGGGTAGTCATTCTTTTTTATTTATTTCTCACGCTCAAATGGCAACACCGCTTACAACAAAATTCACCATTATAAAAATACTAACAGAACTTACACTTAAAAACAATAATAAAACAATTTTCATTCACATTTATTATGTTTTTCTAACGGTCACGTAAGAAACACAATGAATGCACCACCGCCGCGCATTATCACACTCACACAAACACACACAATTGTGTATAACAAAACATAATCGAAGGGGGAAAAGAAAAAAAAACGAAAAAAAAAAACGAAAAATGTTTATGTTATAGGTGACCATCTTCCCACACCTCCACCAATTCCAGAAGCCATTTTGAGATCCCTCGAATTCATCCGAAGACAACCACAAAAACCAGATGTTAGCGGATTTGAATCGGAACCGAAACCATCATATGCAGAACCGATTTACGAAGAAAATTAAATTTAATACAGGATTAAATTAATCCGCCATTAAAATCCTAAATCGCGTTGTAACAAACGCGAAACAATTTGATCTCGAAACATCATCAATGAGATACGAAAATGAAAGAAAAAAAAAACAAATTCGTT